ATGAGATTTTTTAAGATCTTATTAAAGATCCTGTAATATCTTAAAGGATCCTATAGGATTCTATAGGATCTTACATAGGATCTCACAAGATCTTATATAAGATCTTACAAGATCTTATAAGATCGTACAGGATCCTATGTTAAGATCCTAGTAAGATCTTATTAGGATCCTAATTAGGATCTTAATAGGATCCTAATTAGGATCTTAATAGGATCTTACTTAAGATTTCTACCAGGGTATAGCTCAAACAAGATAGTATCTTCAATTTAGTTTGTATTGCTATTTTTTCGTTATACCAAAAGTTGCATAACGCTTGTTTGTCAATTGTGAGAGCAAAGGCAACACAGAATGGTTTGGGATATATACATGTACCTATATACTTAAAGATTTAGACATATACCTTTATCTTGCTCCCACTTTTTCTCTATTGTGATTAATAACCAAAAAATAATCACCAAATGTGCAATATTCCAAAGAAATGTGGCAGTTTTACTTTACACCCGTTTTCAAAATTACGCGACCAACCCGAAAAAACTCTCAGCCCGAGAACACGTTTTTATGTAAAATTTTCGCGCATTTTTTCAAAATGGCGGACACGTTGTTACCGTGTTTTTTTTATTTATTTATGAAAAAATTGAAAATGCTAAACTATAAAGCACCAAATCAGCAGCTGTTATAAGAGTATGGTAAAGTCTTTCCCAACGGCTCTGAGATGGAGAGTGGTATTTTTAAGCAACGATGGTTTAACTATAAATCAAATTGCGAAAAAGTTAAAGGTCGGACACACTTTTGTGAAGAAAGCTCGCAGTGTTCACAGAGCCACTTCGGGTGTAGATTACGAAAAGCATCATAAAGGACGACCAAGAAATCTAACTGGTCCTAGAAGCTTGGATAACAATGCATTTGATGTTCCACTGCTTTCACATGCTGACATGGTTTTGTTTCTCTTCTGAAAGCTAGGGATGTGCTACTGGTTAGGCGAATTGTTGACCACTATCCAGAAATATATCTTGATGAGTTGAAAGATTGGATGCACTATATAACTGGGCTTTGGTACTCCATTACTACGTTACATCGCTGCATTCGGCAGTGTGGATTAAAGGGATACTCCACTCAAAATAACGTAGCCTTCCATCAATGGATAATACTTATTTAATCTTACTTGTGAAGTTTGAACGGACAGTTCTTTTTAGTTAAGGAGAAATCGCATCTAAAAGTCTGTTAAAACGGCATATTTCGGACGCCATGTTGTCTTTCTCAAGCAGACGCGTATGGCCAGCAATGGCCAGCGGATTCTCACAAAATGATGTATGTGAGTGCTTCGCACAATTTCGCGCTAAATTTAAACTACATTTTTATATGTAAATAGTGTTAAATCAACTGTCAAATTAGTAAAATGCCGCATTGTATGGTTCCCAAATGTACAAATGGTTGGAGGAAGACCAAGGGTACTGATATAACTTATCATAGAGTGCCAAATGGTCCGATAAAAAGCGCTTGGATGCGAAATATCAAAAGGGACAACCCGCGAAATATTAAAAACTCATTTGTTTGTAGTGTTCACTTTACGCCTGATTGTTTTATACCTGCTATGGAAATATGCGGTCGAAAAAAGCCAAAAGCGTTAAAACCAACAGCAATTCCAACGCTATTTGAATACGCAAAGAAGAAACCTCCTCCACGTTCGTCGAGTTTAAGGCAAATACGTATACGTGAAAAAGAGGTATGTGAAATTTTACCTTTTGTATATTTTCATGTACATTACGGTTGGTAACATAATAAAAAATATTAGCAGCCGAGCCAAAATATTAAATGCTGTTTATTATTTTATAACTTATAAAGTATTTTTGTGTAGCTATAATGAGAAATAAATATATTCATTTAAAAGGTTACAAAGAACGCAAATCACAATTTCGAAGATACATGCCCAAAGGCAGGTGAAAGTTGTGAGGCAAGTAATTCTGTGCAGGATGCAGACCAGCTTCTATTTGAGACAAACAGTTTTGATGAAAGTGAATATGTTTGTGAAAAAGCCATGCTACTAAAGCCTGTGAAACAACAAGTGTAAAGGAAATTGGTGTTCAAACATGTGTCTTTAATGTGAAGACATTTAGATCTGTACAAACCCAGACTGATAACATTTTATCTAATGCTGCAGCATGTCCAACATCAGCAAGAGATCATTCTCAGCACAGTATACTTGATGAGCATAATTACTTTAAGCCCACATTACAACCTCCAGATGCTGATTATGTCAATACATCCTCTGTTGAAGATTCAACAATAACAATTCACCCTGAGCCAACTGAAGTACAGAGCAGTGATGATGATTTGAATGGACATGAACATGATCCCATGTATTCTCCTCCTGTCAGCAGTGATGATGATTTAGATGGACATAAAGATGATCCAATGTATTCTCCTTCCAGCAGCAGTGATGACTTTGACAGTGAAGATGAAAATGTTGACCCAACTAAAGAAAAAAAATGGATTGTGTTTGAAAGTGAACTCGATAAACTTTTTGTATTCTGTTCTCAATGTGGAAACATTATTACAACTAAAACAAAACATTGCAAAGGCAGTATGATGATAATCAAAACTACATGTTTACAAGGACATTCGAATATATGGCACTCACAACCTTCATCAAATGGAACTGCAGCAGGTAACTTGTTAATTCCTGCAGCTATTCTGTTTAGTGGCAATACTTACCAGCATATCCAACAATTTTCAAAAGTTCTCAACATGAAGATTGTGAGTTCTTCCAGTTACTACAAAACCCAAAAAAAATATCTACTCCCTGTTGTAAAGAATAAGTGGAAAGCAAGTCAGGTTGAGATTCTGAAAGAATTAAAAAAGGCTAACCATGTAGATATAGCTGGTGATGGACGGTGTGACAGCCCAGGCCACTCTGCAAAGTATGGTACGTATACCATGATGGATGAAAGTACCAAGAAAGTCATTGAGTTCAGTGTTGTTCAAGTCACAGAAACCACCTCATCAAATGCAATGGAATACGAAGGATGCAAACGGACATTAAACTCCCTCCTCCAGAAAAAAAATCCCTATTCAATGCCTCACTACTGATAGGCATACCACAATTACAGCCAAAATGAAGAGTGTCTACCCCAATATAAAACACCAATATGATGTCTGGCATTTAGCAAAATGGGTAACCAAAAAACTACTGAAGAAGGCAAAAAAGAAGTCATTTGAAGATCTGACTCCATGGATCCAGGCAATTTCCAATCATTTATGGTGGTGCGCATCAACCTGTGGTGGAGACTCCAACATGCTCAGAGAGCGGTGGCTTTCTCTTCTTTACCATATTGTTGACAAGCATCGATGGAGTGGTTGCAAGTTGTTCAAGAGGTGTGGCCATCCTACAATGTCAAGAAAAGAAAGGAAAAGCATTAAGTGGTTGAAAGCTGGGTCTCCTTCTCATATAGCACTAGAAGAGATCATCACAAATAAGAAATTTTTAAAAGATTTAGACAAACTCACTGAGTTTCACCATACTGGTGAGTTGGAGCAATACCACTCAGTTTTGTTAAAGTACGCTCCAAAACGTGAACATTTCAGTTACAATGGAATGGTAGCTCGCACACAACTCGCCATGTTAGATCACAATGCACATGTGCACAGGAAGCAAGCAATTGTACAGGTGGGGGAAAATAAAGGAGAAATGAGATTCAACGTTGTATGCCCCAAGCAAAGGAAAAACTGGGTAGCAAAAAAAATCAAAGAGGCAAAGTCATATGAATACATTGATTCAATGATGAAAGAAGTTCTCTCAATTAAGGAAGGAAAGAAAATTCGCCACAAATACAAGCCTGTCACCCAAGCAAAATGCATTGCAACAATTCCTAAGCCACCTAAACAGGAAGTAATAGAGCGACATAAAACAAGAATGAAATTCTAGCAATAATTTTAGCAGCACTGTAGGAAGCACAAAACGCAGTATACTGAGATCATATCCTTTAAGAAGGTTGTGGGAAAATATCAAATCAGTATCATACAATACCTTACTCATCCGCAAAATGAAATCCGATAAACTCGAAGTCATCCTCTTGGCCAGGAGGAGGAAAATGGGCTCGAATGCAACTGACTGCATAAGATGGCAACACAACACGCACTTCTCTCCCAAGAACACCCCAGCACCACCTCACTAATTGTCTATATGCAACATGTCTATTTATTTTATGCTCTGGCCCTTCCACAGCATCTGTTCCGTACTGCTGCTTGTACTGAAACCAGGCAGCTTGTAAAACCCAGCGATTTAAACAAACTGCCTGAAATCCAGGGTTAGCTGTTATACATGGATAGCGTGCTGGTGGTTGTTCTTGCTGGTAAACTTCTTCGTTCTTGTTGGCAACCTCGGGAATTTCTTGACAACAAAGACACTCGACTTCCCTGTCCATTATTTGGCAACTTTCGCATGTACACCTATGTTTACATGTATAAAATGGTGTTTCGTATTAGAAGACATTGTATGCAAGTATTACCATATCAATATTCAGAACCTAACAGAAACTTACCAGGTCTTATTCATATCGCTTAATCGGACAAGAATATTTTGTTCCGAGCCACTTGATTCAGCGTTCTCACTGTTTGACTCGCTTGAACGAGAGCCGTATGAATCACGTCTCGGATGGAATTGATAGCCCTCAATTCCGTCTGCTAGTTCTTGATTCAATAGAAAATCATCTAAATCATCACTGGACGACCTGTAATCGCTAGAACTCGACGAATTTGTAGACATATTTCTCCCCACAGGTATAAAATAAGCTTGTGTTTGTTTTCAGAGTGCGAATATACTTATATATACTTATAATATAACCTAATTTATACTTATAGTTGAACCGTATTAAATCATATTATTTACGCGTTCGAATGTCTTGATTTGGCGATCGAGGAGCAACATAGTTCAAAGATAACTCGACGCAAGGATTAACTCGAAAGAATTGAACGCTAGTACGCTACACGAATGTTAATCTACAATGTCGGTGTCGCAATCAACGAATCAAAGCGAAACTGGTCAAGACCAACACGAAGGCCAAGATTCCGGCCCGATTCTTGATCATGAAATAATTCGATATGAAAGGTCTCAGCAATTAAGAAGAAGTCACTCAGCAGCTAAAGGAGTTGTAACTAAAAGGATTAAAGAATTGACCGAACTTATAACTAGTGTAATAGACGCCAGCGAAGCTCGAATAAAGGATCAGGAATTCCACGATGTAGCAGTGAAACTTTATCGCGCACATGCCGATTATCATGCAACGATCACGGACGAGTACGATTTACAAGACTCCGAAGAATATTTTCATATCGAAACTCAAAGAATTGAAGCTTTTAAGCGAACTCTAACGGACTGGATTGATGGTTTATCAAACCCAAACCCATCGCCAATGGATTGTGAAATTAATTCAAAGGACTCAATAAGCAATGTCGGCTCCAAAGCTCGGTCGCGTTGGAGTGCCAAAGGTTCCACAGCAAGCTCTCGAAGATCCCGCGTTAGCTCGTCAGCGCAAAGTGCCATAGCAGCAGCAAAAGCAAAAAAGGCTATGTTAACTGTACGAGCGGAGGCGTTAGACAAATACAAAGCTCTAGAAGAAGAAGAACTTCGCGTACAGCACGAAATAGCAGCGCTAACTCAACGACAAGAAGAACAAAGACTGCGCTGTCAGCAGAGGAAAAAGGAACTAGAAATTGAAACAGAATTCGCGAAAGCTGATGCAGAAGAAAAGGCATATGCTGAAACTTTACTTCGTGACAAGCCTCAACCAATGACGTCCAATGGTCTTGCAATAGAAACTGGATTGCAAGGAAGCCAAACCCCAACTCAAGTCAAACCGTCCATCCATAGTGTGAAGCTAAAAGGAGAAGCCAAAGAAGATGATGCTTCTGACGACTCAGAGACGGCAGGAAACTTCCTGCGAGAGATGGTAAACGTACAGCAGCTCCAGTTGAATCAAAATCAGCAAATGTTTGAATCACAGAGATATCGCGACGAATACATGCAACAACTATTGAACCAACAACATCGACTGGCTACATCTATGGCATTACCGAACGTCCAAGTACCGACATTTAGCGGTAACCCAATAGAATATTGTCACTTTATACGATCGTTCGAGACCCTTGTTGAAGACAAGATGATGGACAGTGGCACAAGACTTCGTTATCTGATTCAATATACATCTGGAGATGTTCAAGAATTGATGCGAAGCTGTTTAACTATGAAATCAGAAGATGGCTACCGAAGGGCAAGATCGCTCCTTAAACAGAGATACGGGCAAAATTACAGGATAGCAACTGCTTATATTGATCGAATCGTCAACTCACCGCCTATCAAAGATGAAGATGGAACAGCACTCCATAAATTTTCTATTCTGATTACAAGTTGCAAGAACACCTTAGAAGATATCGGATACAAACACAAACTTGAGAATTCCGACAACTTGCAAAGGGTTGTGAATAGGCTACCTTTTTCCCTTAGAAGATCGTGGCGCGACGTTGCCGACGACATAACAAGTAATCAATCGAGGGACATTACGTTTGAAGATCTTGCTAAATTCGTGGAGAAAAGGGCTAGAGCGCTGACGCACCCAGTGTTCGGCAAAATAATTCACGAACAGAATCCTAAGTTCAAGTTACCCAAGAGCAGGCTTTCATTTGGGGTGGACGGCGAAGCAAATTCAAAGAAGGCGGATACGACCGTTGGAGGTGCAAGCGTGTTTAATATAGAAGTAAAGAAGTACAAGTGTCCAAGGTGTAATGGCGACCATCTGCTATCTCGCTGCGAAAAATTTAAACGTGATACGGTTAAAGAAAGAGTCAACTTAGTGCGAAGAAAGGGTTTGTGTGACAATTGCCTGTTTCAAGGACACATCGCAAGAGTTTGCCTGAAAGAAAGTTTCTGTAAGGTAACCGGTTGCCAATCAAAGCATTCCACCTATTTGCACCCGCTGAATACTAAACCTGATGAAGAGGATAAATTACGCAGTAAACGTCCGAAGAATCCCGATCATGAAGAATCTGACATCAACAAGATTACCGGACACAATGGCTTTGTTAACAGCGAAGACGCCTTAAGTGACGTCAACGGGGCCGGCGTATCTCAGATAGGATTAGCGATCGTTCCTGTTAAAGTCAAATCCAAAAATTCTAACCGAACAGCGTTAACGTATGCATTTCTGGATCCTGGATCAAATACTACATTTTGTACTCGTGAATTAATGGAAGAACTTGGCATTGAAGGAGAGAACACAGTCTTGTCGTTGACTACTTTACAGTCGGAAAATCACTCAATGAAAAGTCAAGTGCTAAGTTTAGAAGTTTACGACTTAGAAGAGAATGATCTTGTTGAACTCCCTACAGTGTTTTCAACTCTAACGCTACCGATAAACGAACGTAGTATTCCTCGCCAATCTGATATCGATAAGTGGCCATATTTGTCTAATGTTAAGATCATAGAAATCGACGCCAGTGTCGGTTTACTCATCGGCAACGATGTGCCTAAAGCGTTGGAACCCAAGGAAACGATAGAAAGCGAAGGAGTCGGGCCATACGCAGTTAGAACGATATGTGGATGGACAATCAACGGCCCTCTAGGAAGAAATGGAAGTCTCAATCGCTCCACCAATTTCATCCGTGCGGACGACGTGTTGAATGAGCAGTTCAAACGCTTTTGCAACGTTGAATTTAGCGATTCTACATTCGACGATAAAGTTGAGATGTCTAGAGAAGATCTGAGAGCTGTTAACATTCTCGAGAACTCTGCCGAACTGCGTGGTGGTCACTACGAGTTAGCTCTGCCCTGGAAGAATTCTTCACCTTCGTTACCAAACAATCGTCCCGTCGCTGAGCATCGCCTCGCTCTGCTGAAGAGAAGATTCAATAAAGACCCTAAGTTGTTTTCAAGATACGCGGAGGTGATGGATAATTTGTTAGACAAAGGATACGCAACGAAAGTTCCTGCTACATCAATGGAAATGCGTGAAGAAACCCGGTGGTATTTACCTCACCACCCAGTGATTAACCCAAACAAGCCTGAAAAACTGCGAGTAGTGTTTGATTGTGCCGCTACTTATCATGGAACATCTCTCAACGATCAACTGCTCCAGGGACCAGACTTAACGAACGGTTTGATTGGTGTATTAATTCGTTTCAGACAAGATCGAGTGGCATTAATGGCGGACATCGAATCCATGTTCCACCAGGTTCATGTCCCTGACAAGGATAGAGATGTTTTGCGCTTCTTGTGGTGGCCTGGTAACGACCTTGATGCCCGACCCGAAGAGTACCAAATGACAGTCCATTTGTTTGGTGCTAAATCGTCACCAACCTGTGCAAATTTCGCATTGCGAAAGACAGCAACCGACAACGCAGAGGAATTTAGTAACAACGTAGTCGAGACGATAAAACGAAATTTTTACGTGGACAATTGCCTTAAGTCCGTTCCAGACGAAGATGAGGCTAGTATGTTGGCAGCTGATCTCCGCGTTATTCTCCAAAGAGGTGGTTTCCGCTTGACGAAATGGGTTTCGAACTCCCCGAAAGTTGTGGCTTCCATACCAGAAGCCGAAAGAGCTGGTTCCGTGAAGGATGTTTGCCCTGGTCAGCCAACCCTCGAGCGAGCACTTGGTGTTCAGTGGAACGTGGGTCTAGATCAGTTTGGATTTAGGATAAAGATGAAGGAAAAACCGTCCACAAGAAGAGGAGTACTCTCGTTAGTTAGTTCTGTGTATGATCCTCTGGGATTCGGAGCTCCGTTTGTTCTGATTGCTAAGATGCTGATGCAGGAGTTATGCCGGAAGAACTTAAGTTGGGACGATCCGATTCAGGGAGAATACCTCAAAAGATGGGAAAGTTGGCAAACGCAACTAATGAAAATTGAGAAGCTCTACGTGCCAAGATGCTTTAAACCTTCCGAATTTGGGAAGATCGTGTCAAGTCAATTGCACCAGTTTGCGGATGCATCGGAACGTGCATATGGCGCAGTCAGTTACCTACGATTAGTAAATGAACATGGAGACATTCATGTTTCGTTTGTGATTGGTAAAGCCCGACTCGCGCCACTCAAGGTTGTTACGATACCTCGACTCGAACTATCGGCTGCCGTTGTAGCTACCAGACTGGATAAGATGGTACGCAACGAAATCGATTTCTCGATTGACGCTTCCGTTTTCTGGACAGATAGTACAACGGTGCTTGGTTATATCCTTAACGAAGAGAAAAGATTCAAAACCTTCGTAGCGAATCGCGTGGCTGTGATACACGAAACTACCATACCGTCGCAGTGGAAATATGTCAGTACTCAGTTAAATCCAGCTGACGACGCTTCCCGAGGTCTATCTGCCGATGCTCTACTCCAAAATAAAAGATGGCTGAGTGGACCTGACTTCCTTTGGAAGACCGAAGACCATTGGCCGAGTCAACTCTATAATTCTGCCACGACCCTACAAGAAGACCCAGAAGTGAAGATAGAACCCCAAACATTTGCTACTGTTGCAGAAACCCAAGAAGATCCATTGGAAGGTATCTTCAAACGATTTTCGTCGTGGACCCGTCTTCGAATTTTCATAGCCTGGGTGCTTCGTTATAAATCGAAACTCCGAGAAACTGTGCGTAGAAGAAGAGAAGGACAATACGAGTCGCTAAAGGCGGGAGTTATTAACCCAATTAGTGTTGAAGAGTTGGTTCGTGCAGAGAACGAGGTCTTGAAACGTGTTCAAGGAACAAGCTTTCGAGAGGAGCTGAAACGTTTGGACGATAAATCCGTCAATGATACAACGAACGAGCTGAAAGTTAAATACGTTAAGAAGTCAAGTTCTATCTATAACTTGGATCCGCAGTTGATCGATGGTATTCTACGAGTTGGCGGCCGCCTAAAGAACGCTCCAATACCAAAAGAAAGCAAACATCCTATTATCGTCCCAAAGAATAACCATATTTCCAACTTGATCGTGCGGTATTATCATCAAATCTCCGCTCACGCGGGTCGCGAACATGTTTTGTCACTCCTAAGGGAACGTTTCTGGATAGTTGGAGCGAGAATCATGGTGAAACGAATCCTCAATAACTGTGTTGAATGTCGGAAAATACGGGGTCCACGTGGTGAGCAGAAGATGGCCGACCTACCCAATGACCGAGTTATCCCTAATAACCCACCTTTCAGCTTCGTAGGAGTAGATTGCTTCGGGCCGTTCCTTGTGAAGAGGGGGAGAAGTCTCGTGAAGAGGTACAGCGTTCTTTTCACCTGTTTAACTATTCGAGCCATTCACATCGAGATTGCTTACAGTCTCGATACTGATTCGTTTCTACAGTCTATGCGAAGATTCATTGCCAGACGTGGTCGTCCTGAGATTATGAGATCCGATAATGGAACTAATTTTGTGGCCGGAGAAAAAGAGCTTCGTAACGCAATAGACGGATGGAACCAAGAGAAATTGCATAAGTTCCTTTTACAGCAACACATAAAATGGATTTTTAATTCGCCTACCGCTTCCCATCAAGGTGGCGTATGGGAACGATGTATACGTACTGTTCGCAAAGTTTTGAAAGGACTTCTCAAACAGCAAGTACTCGATGAAGAAGGATTAACTACATTAATGTGCGAGGCAGAATCAATCGTGAATAGCAGACCTCTTACTAAAGTTTCCGATGATCCTAACGATGCAGAAGCGTTGACACCAAACCACTTATTGTTATTACGATCTGGTCCGTCCTTTCCTCCGGGAATGTTCACGAAGGAAGAGCGTTACAGTCGCCGCAGATGGAGACAAATACAATATTTAGCTGATGTATTTTGGCGCCGATGGGTAAAGGAATATCTTCCTACATTACAGAAGCGGCAGAAGTGGACCAAGCCGCGCAGAAATTTCCAATTGGGAGACATTGTGCTCATCGTTGATGAAAATTATCCAAGATGTTCCTGGGCCCTTGGTCGTATTATAGAAGTTAAGCCGGGAAGGGATGGTTATGTCAGACGAGTAAGTATGAAAACGAAGTCAACGGTCTTGGAACGCCCGATTAATAAGATTGTCCTCTTGGAAGCTGATGTTGTCCAGAAGGAATGAATTATACTTGATATCCAAAATACTTGAAACGTTAATTGAAATTAGACTTTAATTTATAAAATTTTCTTAAACTTAGAATTTAATCAGTCTGTTTGATTCCTTAAATATATTGTAAATGCCATAGCCCGCATTTAGGGGCCGGAATGTAGGACTCAAACAATTTGCATGCTATTGTCTAGGAGATTAGTTGAACAATATAAAGACTTAATATATTCATATTTCAAATATAAAACCGTTGAAAGTGTTTGGCGGCGAAAAATATCTAGTAAACAGTCTAAACGAAATTATTTAACTCTACCTGAATGATGCTAGTGGACGAAAGTTAACTCTAGTTATATCTACATTGCTGTCGATCGCCCAGTTGGGGAATTATCTGTAAGTTTGCTTATTATTTTACTAAATTATTATAGACTAGGTAGTTATTAGTTTTGTATTTATACTTATAGTTGAACCGTATTAAATCATATTATTTACGCGTTCGAATGTCTTGATTTGGCGATCGAGGAGCAACATACGTCATTTTGTGAGAATCCGCTGGCCATTGCTGGCCATACGCGTCTGCTTGAGAAAGACAACATGGCGTCCGAAATATGCCGTTTTAACAGACTTTTAGATGCGATTTCTCCTTAACTAAAAAGAACTGTCTGTTCAAACTTCACAAGTAAGATTAAATAAGTAATATCTATTGATGGAAGGCTACTTTATTTTGAGTGGAGTATCCCTTTAATGATGAAAAAGGTGATGCTTTAGACAACACCAGCTAATCTATGTATTAAACTGGTAGTGTAATAACACAATAGACAATATTTACTTATATATGGTGTATTTTATATTTACACACAGCTTCATGTGATTGCTAAGCAAAGGAATCAAATAAAACGCGCACAATATCGCCATCTTGTCGCTGGAATTAACAAACATCAATTCCTATTTATTGATGAATCTGCTAAAGATGATAGGACTTTTCAAGTAAGTGTTGATATTTTACATACATGAGGGCAGAACTAGGGCTTTACATTGTGATTTTGTTCTTTAGAGGAAATTTGGACTATCCTTGAAAGGATGTAGATTATGTTCACGTGGAAATTTTACAAGGGGTCAACAATACAGTGTTATGGCTGCAATGTCAACTAAGGGAACTATCAGTGCTCATTCAATCATTGGTGCATATGACATGCCTCAGTTTGAATTCTGTTTTGAACATTTCATTCTACCAATTGTTGAGTCATTTTCTAAGAATGAAGATTGTTCTGTTGTGGTACTGGATAACTGCACTATTCATTACTCAGATAGAATTATCCAGATGGTTAGGAAAAAGGGTGGCCTAATCATATTTTTACCGTGAGTTCTTCTATAGTTAGTTTTATGATAACCATCTGCCCACTGTCTGTGATGCAATATTTATCACACCAACTTATTAGGAAACTAACTACCATATTCTCTCACAGACCTTCTGGGGGTGCTTATTGAGACCTTTTGATTGGGGGAGGGGGGTTAAATAAGATGATATCAGTAAGATGATAGACAATAAGATGATATCATACATAATTATATTTTCAGACCATATTCGCCAGATTTGAATCCCATTGAAATTGCATTTGGAACAGCAAAAAAATGGCTTCAAGGTCATCCAGACATCTGCAATAAGTACCCGAAACGATGCTTTGAAATTGCTTTGCGTCAGGTAAATAGGCACTTTCTAAATATGTATTTGCAACTCAATATGTACATTTTTTTTCAACTGGTGTACTGTACATAATACTTGAACACATCAAATGTGGTATAACAACTGCCTAAAGTAGACAAAACACTTCTCAACGTTTTGACCTGAGGGCCTTTGTCAGGAGAGTTAGTGTGGGTTGCTAACTCTCCTGACGAAGGCCCTCAGGTCAAAACATCGAGAAGTGTTTTGTCTATTTTAGGCAGTTGTTATACCACATTTGATGCACAGTTTACTTATTTACAAAATCATACAAGTATAGAACAAAATATAAAATGATATGGCAACCTATGCCAACAAAACATCAACATTTTTACTTTAATAACAGATATCAGAATCCTCATGTTCAAATATAATATCCTCATCTGGCTGAGTGAGTATAAACAGTACAGTTTACTCCTTTAAATCCAACTTAATTTTCCCATCCATGAAACGTGATTCTGTATATTCCTTGAACTAAGACCAAATGGTTTTTTTCATCAGTGATACCAAGACTTTTCATCAATCCCTCACCTAGTGTGGGATGTATAATTGCTTCAAGCATGTGTCCATCTATGTTGTTTTCTTGGAATGTTTGGTAGTAACGTTCCAGTCCAATCTTCTCTAGAAACCTCTGTACTTTTTCTTGTGTTAACTGTTGTATTTCTGGTGAAGTATTTAGAACTGATTTCAGAAAATTTTGCAGAATAATATACTAACCTTATTATCTTATAGGGTAGTCTGTCAATATTCACAGCATACAAAACTACAAGAACTGTTACCAGCCTATTGGCATAATTCTGTTGTGCATGCACTATTCAATAACTGTATTGAGCATTTATAAGTTTTTACTGTAATTGTACACATTAAAGTTATTCTTTAGGTAAAGAAGTAAACCTGTGTTTTCTTTTGGTTTTGTGAATTGATTTCCATTGGGCTCCTAAATGGTAAAGATGGATCATAATATAGTTAAATCTATTGTAGTAATGTATATATGTATATATACATGTATATATGTATATATATATACAGTACTGTGCAAAAGTTTTAGACCCCCAGTCAAATTGTCACTTGTTAGTAAAATTCATGGTATTGCAAGACATGCTAGGTAGAAAAACTTGTAGTGGTCTTGCACTTGGTACAGCCACCATGAGAGACCATTATTGCAGCACAATGCCCAGTCATTGACCTAACAAGCTTGTTTGTTACATCTGGATCAACAGCCTCATGTGATGTGAAAATGGTCTCTTTGATTCTTCCACATGTCAAGATGGTCTTCTATCTGACCTCTTCCTCACTTATTCTCAAAAATGTTCAATGAGGTTCACGTCAGCAATCTCTTATAGCCCTGGGCTAGTCAATATCACTTTCTTTCAGGCTCTTTTCTGTATGACATGGTACCCGATCTTACTGGAAGATATAATCTCCACCACAAAGCCATCTCATCTATTAGAAAAGTTCTAGATACAAGCCAAACATACCATTTTCCGTATCTAGTCGAAAATTTACGATCTTGGGACTTTCTAAAAGGTGGAGAGAGCTTTGCTGTTGAGACTTTATCTTTGAAAAAGATCTTAGAAAAAAGCCCTACAGAAAGAAATATCAATCAGTACAGGGCAACGAAAGAATTCTGACCTAAACCTGCTTGAATATCTTTGGGAATAAGTGAGGAAGAGGTCAGATAGAAGACCATCTCGACATCTGGAAGAATCAAAGAGACCATTTTCGCATCATGTAGGCTGTTGATCCAGATGTAACAAACAAGCTTGTTGGGTCAATGACTGGGCATTGTGCCCCAATAATGGTCTTTCATGGTGACTGTACCAAGCGCAATACCAAGTCTTTCTACTTAGCATGTCTTGCAATACCATGAATTTTACTAACAAGTGACAATTTGACTGGGGGCCTAAAACTTTTGCACAGTACTGTATATATATATTGAAATTAACCTGGGGTCTAAAACTGGAGCTCATCATCGCCAGCAGGGTACTTTGGAACACATCAGCTCTCTTTGCTTCTATCTCCATTCGCTGCTGGCTTTGCAACATAAATAATTCCAAAAGATTTGGAGAGTTGTTATTGATCAGGCTTTGATTGGCAGTTGAATTTGGCGTTGAGCTTGAGCTAGATTCACTGTTCCCAGATGAAGCCCCACAAGATCTAGAATTCTTTGGTGGAACATGTACTACATCAATGCACTTTTCCCAATCTGGTTCATCACCCACACCACTTGATTTCCCATCCACTATAGCATCGGTCCAGTGCTTCAAGTGATTTATAGTATAGCGCCACATTACTCCTTTCTTTTCCAAATCACGTACCAGTGAGATGTGAACTTCATTCCACAGTTCATTCTCCTTTGAAGCGCTACTTCCTCCCAAATCAAGTTTTCTTTTTGTAGGGTGTGAGGCTTTTTCTTGACTTGACTCTAAAAGCAAGAAATTTATGGTACAGTGAACAGAATTGCAAAATCTAACTAAATACAATTAAAATAGGATAGAGGGCGGTTATACAGTCCTGTTAGAACAATACAATAAAACCATGGAATACCCACATTGTTTCCTACTAGACAAAAGCATTTCATTCAAACAATTGCTTTTTACCTGATGTAGGAGAGGAAATGCAATGACATGCAATTTTAATTGGTACTCTGACACCATACTCTCTGCGACAGGATGCCAGGTCATCATCATTTTTTAATGCAACAAATTGCTTTGTACCCTTTCTTAGCCAATAAAGGCCTTTCTTTGGTAGATATATGTTTTCAGTATCAAGAGAAAGGATCATCAAAATCATTGATGAAAGTGACACGCTGGATGAAATATTATGAAGTGTGTCTGCTGTTTGTGAAATCTTTCCATTGATGTATGGGTGAATGAAAATATCAGATATGTTTTGACTTTGTGCTTGCAAACGTGGTGACTTTCTGATTGGGGTCTCAACTAATTAAAAAACAGTTTAAATAAATTTAGTACATAATATTCTTGTTTGTTTGCATGGTGACATCAGTAAGTAATTTAGCTTGTAGGTACACCACATAAGTATTAAATACTTACATGGGGTACCTACAAGCTAAATTACTAACTTAAATTTAGTACAGTAATTACTTAAAGTGGAAATGATTGTATTAAATTAAAATATAATAAAGATAATAAAAAGTATTATGCAACTGCATGCTAAATGGCAAATAACACATACTCTTGTCCTCTTGCAAATCCACAGCCAAGTATATATAGCACTTGTTTTTCCTCCCTTTACGTTTGGGTTCTTCGATGGGATATTCACTCAGCAAAGATGGAAT